CACTCAAAACCACCAAATGACTCCTCCCACCATATTATGATGTTCCCCAAGTTTTGGACTCAATCCGATATCGATTGGTCCATGAAATGGACAATTCAGGTTCGTACGAAGTTCGTTCTGAAATGGAGTAGTTGGTGTATTGCATAGTTTTAGCATTGGATTTCACTCAAAACCACCAAATGACTCCTCCCACACATTATGTTGTTCCCCAAGTTTTGGACTCAATCCGATATCGATTGGTCCATGAAATGGACTATTCAGGTTCGTAGAAGTTCGTTCTGAAATGGAGTGGTTGGTGTATTGCATAGTTTTAGCCATTGGATTTCACTCAAAACCAACCAAATGACTCCTCCCACCATTATGTTGTTCCCCAAGTTTTGGACTCAATCCGATATCGATTGGTCCATGAAATCGGACTATTCAGGTTCGTAGGAAGTTCGTTCTGAAATGGAGTGGTTGGTGTATTGCATAGTTTTAGCCATTGGATTTCACTCAAAACCAACCAAATGACTCCTCCCACCACATTATGTTGTTCCCCAAGTTTTGGACTCAATCCGATATCGATTGGTCCATGAAATCGGACTATTCAGGTTCGTAGGAAGTTCGTTCTGAAATGGAGTGGTTGGTGTATTGCATAGTTTTAGCCATTGGATTTCACTCAAAACCAACCAAATGACTCCTCCCACCACATTATGTTGTTCCCCAAGTTTTGGACTCAATCCGATATCGATTGGTCCAAGAAATCGGACTATTCAGGTTCGTAGGAAGTTCGTTCTGAAATGGAGTGGTTGGTGTATTGCATAGTTTTAGCCATTGGATTTCACTCAAAACCAACCAAATGACTCCTCCCACCACATTATGTTGTTCCCCAAGTTTTGGACTCAATCCGATATCGATTGGTCCATGAAATCGGACTATTCAGGTTCGTAGGAAGTTCGTTCTGAAATGGAGTGGTTGGTGTATTGCATAGTTTTAGCCATTGGATTTCACTCAAAACCAACCAAATGACTCCTCCCACCACATTATGTTGTTCCCCAAGTTTTGGACTCAATCCGATATCGATTGGTCCAAGAAATCGGACTATTCAGGTTCGTAGCAAGTTCGTTCTGAAATGGAGTGGTTGGTGTATTGCATAGTTTTAGCCATTGGATTTCACTCAAAACCAACCAAATGACTCCTCCCACCATTATGTTGTTCCCCAAGTTTTGGACTCAATCCGATATCGATTGGTCCATGAAATCGGACTATTCAGGTTCGATCATCAAATTCGTTCTGAAATGGAGTGGTTGGTGTATTGCATAGTTTTAGCCATTGGATTTCACTCAAAACTCACCAAATGACTCCTCCCACAACATTATGATGTTCCCCAAGTTTTGGACTCAATCCGATATCGATTGGTCCATGAAATTGGACAATTCAGGTTCGTACGAAGTTCGTTCTGAAATGGAGTGGTTGGTGTATTGCATAGTTTTAGCCATTGGATTTCACTCAAAACTCACCAAATGACTCCTCCCACAACATTATGATGTTCCCCAAGTTTTGGACTCAATCCGATATCGATTGGTCCATGAAATTGGACAATTCAGGTTCGTACGAAGTTCGTTCTGAAATGGAGTGGTTGGTGTATTGCATAGTTTTAGCCATTGGATTTCACTCAAAACTCACCAAATGACTCCTCCCACAACATTATGATGTTCCCCAAGTTTTGGACTCAATCCGATATCGATTGGTCCATGAAATTGGACAATTCAGGTTCGTACGAAGTTCGTTCTGAAATGGAGTGGTTGGTGTATTGCATAGTTTTAGCCATTGGATTTCACTCAAAACTCACCAAATGACTCCTCCCACAACATTATGATGTTCCCCAAGTTTTGGACTCAATCCGATATCGATTGGTCCATGAAATTGGACAATTCAGGTTCGTACGAAGTTCGTTCTGAAATGGAGTGGTTGGTGTATTGCATAGTTTTAGCCATTGGATTTCACTCAAAACTCACCAAATGACTCCTCCCACACATTATGATGTTCCCCAAGTTTTGGACTCAATCCGATATCGATTGGTCCATGAAATTGGACAATTCAGGTTCGTACGAAGTTCGTTCTGAAATGGAGTGGTTGGTGTATTGCATAGTTTTAGCCATTGGATTTCACTCAAAACTCACCAAATGACTCCTCCCACAACATTATGATGTTCCCCAAGTTTTGGACTCAATCCGATATCGATTGGTCCATGAAATTGGACAATTCAGGTTCGTACGAAGTTCGTTCTGAAATGGAGTGGTTGGTGTATTGCATAGTTTTAGCCATTGGATTTCACTCAAAACTCACCAAATGACTCCTCCCACAACATTATGATGTTCCCCAAGTTTTGGACTCAATCCGATATCGATTGGTCCATGAAATTGGACAATTCAGGTTCGTACGAAGTTCGTTCTGAAATGGAGTGGTTGGTGTATTGCATAGTTTTAGCCATTGGATTTCACTCAAAACCACCAAATGACTCCTCCCACACATTATGATGTTCCCCAAGTTTTGGACTCAATCCGATATCGATTGGTCCATGAAATGGACAATTCAGGTTCGTACGAAGTTCGTTCTGAAATGGAGTGGTTGGTGTATTGCATAGTTTTAGCCATTGGATTTCACTCAAAACCACCAAATGACTCCTCCCACCACATTATGATGTTCCCCAAGTTTTGGACTCAATCCGATATCGATTGGTCCATGAAATTGGACAATTCAGGTTCGTACGAAGTTCGTTCTGAAATGGAGTGGTTGGTGTATTGCATAGTTTTAGCCATTGGATTTCACTCAAAACTCACCAAATGACTCCTCCCACAACATTATGATGTTCCCCAAGTTTTGGACTCAATCCGATATCGATTGGTCCATGAAATTGGACAATTCAGGTTCGTACGAAGTTCGTTCTGAAATGGAGTGGTTGGTGTATTGCATAGTTTTAGCCATTGGATTTCACTCAAAACCACCAAATGACTCCTCCCACACATTATGATGTTCCCCAAGTTTTGGACTCAATCCGATATCGATTGGTCCATGAAATTGGACAATTCAGGTTCGTACGAAGTTCGTTCTGAAATGGAGTGGTTGGTGTATTGCATAGTTTTAGCCATTGGATTTCACTCAAAACTCACCAAATGACTCCTCCCACAACATTATGATGTTCCCCAAGTTTTGGACTCAATCCGATATCGATTGGTCCATGAAATTGGACAATTCAGGTTCGTACGAAGTTCGTTCTGAAATGGAGTGGTTGGTGTATTGCATAGTTTTAGCCATTGGATTTCACTCAAAACCACCAAATGACTCCTCCCACCAATTATGATGTTCCCCAAGTTTTGGACTCAATCCGATATCGATTGGTCCATGAAATTGGACAATTCAGGTTCGTACGAAGTTCGTTCTGAAATGGAGTGGTTGGTGTATTGCATAGTTTTAGCCATTGGATTTCACTCAAAACTCACCAAATGACTCCTCCCACAACATTATGATGTTCCCCAAGTTTTGGACTCAATCCGATATCGATTGGTCCATGAAATTGGACAATTCAGGTTCGTACGAAGTTCGTTCTGAAATGGAGTGGTTGGTGTATTGCATAGTTTTAGCCATTGGATTTCACTCAAAACTCACCAAATGACTCCTCCCACAACATTATGATGTTCCCCAAGTTTTGGACTCAATCCGATATCGATTGGTCCATGAAATTGGACAATTCAGGTTCGTACGAAGTTCGTTCTGAAATGGAGTGGTTGGTGTATTGCATAGTTTTAGCCATTGGATTTCACTCAAAACTCACCAAATGACTCCTCCCACAACATTATGATGTTCCCCAAGTTTTGGACTCAATCCGATATCGATTGGTCCATGAAATTGGACAATTCAGGTTCGTACGAAGTTCGTTCTGAAATGGAGTGGTTGGTGTATTGCATAGTTTTAGCCATTGGATTTCACTCAAAACTCACCAAATGACTCCTCCCACAACATTATGATGTTCCCCAAGTTTTGGACTCAATCCGATATCGATTGGTCCATGAAATTGGACAATTCAGGTTCGTACGAAGTTCGTTCTGAAATGGAGTGGTTGGTGTATTGCATAGTTTTAGCCATTGGATTTCACTCAAAACTCACCAAATGACTCCTCCCACAACATTATGATGTTCCCCAAGTTTTGGACTCAATCCGATATCGATTGGTCCATGAAATTTTTTTTTTTTTTTTTTTTTTTTTTTTTTTTTTTTTTTTTTTTTTTTTTTTTTTTTTTTTTTTTTTTTTTTTTTTTTTTTTTTTTTTTTTTTTTTTTTTTTTTTTTTTTTTTTTTTTTTTTTTTTTTTTTTTTTTTTTTTTTTTTTTTTTTTTTTTTTTTTTTTTTTTTTTTTTTTTTTTTTTTTTTTTTTTTTTTTTTTTTTTTTTTTTTTTTTTTTTTTTTTTTTTTTTTTTTTTTTTTTTTTTTTTTTTTTTTTTTTTTTTTTTTTTTTTTTTTTTTTTTTTTTTTTTTTTTTTTTTTTTTTTTTTTTTTTTTTTTTTTTTTTTTTTTTTTTTTTTTTTTTTTTTTTTTTTTTTTTTTTTTTTTTTTTTTTTTTTTTTTTTTTTTTTTTTTCTGCGAACTGGGGTTGTTCTCCAAAATTTTTCCCTGCAACGCCTGCAGATAGAAGAACCCTGCCCTACTTCAGGCTCTTCCTCAAACCATAGCAGCACTGCAGGATATTCGTGCTCGGCTCGATCCCATGATGCCTTTTCCATAGCACGACACATGCACAGGATCCTCCTCCGCAAGTTGGGGTTCATCTAGTGGGGGCGACGGCCGAGGAAGGTCATCCACCTATGCACGAACGAATGCAAAGGTAGGCGTAGGCCGTTCTTAACATCTCCCAGTATAGGGTCACCCCCCCCGGGGCGGTCGGCTCGGCCGGGCCATACGCTTGCGGCAGCGCGAATACCCATCTCTCGGCACCTCGTACTCCCGCCTAATCCTCTCCAGCAGCTCATGCATCATCCGCATCGGCACCGTGTCTGCCACCATTCCCTCTCCTCGTAATAGTATGGGTGCATGGACAGCCCTCACCGATACGAGCACGATCCCCCCCCCCCCCCCCCCACACTTAGGGCCACGCTCACCCTCACGGGCACCCCATCCAAGTCTACCCGGGCAATGTCTGGGTCCTCGGCCTCTTCCTCCACACCCACTTTAGCCTCGTGCTGCCCCACCTCGGCATGCGGGTCACCTCCCACGATCGGTTCCTCACTCCCTTCATCAGAGCTCGTCACCTCTACCACTGACGGCTCTTCCTCGGCCCCTATTCCCACCACTGGCCTGTCACCCAACTGGTGCCATGTCTCATCCAACGCCCCAAAATTATGCTACCCTACTCGACCCACTCTCACTCGTCTCTCGAGACATCTTCACATCGACAGAAATAACAGAGGGTCAGAGAAACTCTCACCTGGCCTGAATCGCCGGTTTCCTCTGCCCAGCTTCCGCCCTAAACAGCTTCTCCTCCACAGACACAAGAAACTCAACTCGCAGCTAACACGGGCCTCGTTCAGCAATTCTCCATGGAAACAAAAGTGCCAAACCGCTCGAAATTGCCCACCTATATATACACCCTGGCACACCGTTGGATTCTTTTTGCGCCAACCACTGGATCTCGCCATGTGGATAACGCGCCTCGTTTCTCCCACTCGACGCGACGGCTCACGTCCCACCCTTTCTGATTCCCCGGACTCATCATGACCCCAGCATTCAATATCGTGCCTCCCGAGCTTCTGACACGCGTCCACATCCTTTTGCATCCCGAGGTAACCTCACCCTTCGTTAGGGGATTGGGGGACAAACCGTGCCGAGGCCGAGACACATCTGCAGGGGCCGAAACAAACCGACCGAAACAAACCGACATGTGACACTCGGCAATTACCGAGCCGAGCTGCCCAAAAATAATGGAGCTAGAAAAGAATATAGTTCGGCCTCGGCTCCTAGAAAACACCGCCCTACCAAGATCCGCGATAAACAGAGTCACCCATACCGTCCGTGACAAGACCCCATCCCATCAAGATATGACCGTCGCCATACCTAGAGACTGGAGACCTCTCTGTCCGCAGCACCTCGCTCCTCTCTGTGGCAGGGATAGAGCACGCAGGCCATCATGAATCGTACACTCACGGGCCCACCTAAACCACTCGTTGGCAGAACTGATGGGATGTATATGGCTCGGCTCCGAGCCGAGGTAACCAACTTGTAAATATTATCCATCACGAATGCCCCCTATAAAAAAGGCTCTCTTTCCAGAGAAAAGGAAGAAGGGACTTAGACCCACACTCAAATAAATACTGTGTTATCCATATAAAATATCATTTGGGTTCAACAAAATACATTCAATGTAATGTGGTTCTTGTTTTTATTGCAACTGTAGCCTTCTCGTCAAATCCCAAATCTTTTCCTTCAAATCCCTCCATCCAAATGGAGCCTAACTTCTACTGGAACACCACTTGCGCTATTTATAATTTTACAATTTTAGGTCCCTCCCACTTGAAGAAGTCAAATCTGACCCAGATTATACCATATTTCTAATTAAAAATAGAGAAAATAAGGACATAAATCCTTAGTAATCTACCTTAAAGCAATTTTTTCTTCATAGTATTGCTCAAAGTATCATCATGACAACTATTTACTGACAGAACTACTACACCTACGTGGAATATAGGTATATATGAGGTTTGTAGCATGTTGGTGAAAGCTAAACCATTTCTCATGTCTTTGCTCTTTTAACTTTAGGTAGTTTTTTAACCCCTAATTAACGGAGTGGGGATTTGAACTTGACCTATTAACTATAATGTGTTTGGGTGTCTTTTTATTATGGTGGGCAATGCGTTTGAACATAAATTTTTAGTATCGTAAGATGGTTCTTTTATGTTATGTTTGATATATGTTTTTTTGGGGTTATGTTTTAAGGGATAAGGAAACAGAATTTTTAAATTCTCCTAAAGAAACTCATGTGATCAAAACCACGTTATAATGTGTATAACATCATGTCAGGACATATTAATGTAAAACTAATGTCAACAGAGTCTAGCCCGTGGAAAAAGGGCCTTAGCTTGAATCTAATACTGGTCACATTCAAGCTCACCGGAGAAAACTGCCACCCGTAGTCTTGGTGCCCTCAACTGTATGAGTCCCTGAACTATGCAAATGAATGCATATGAATGATAAAAGTCTTTGATAAATGACCAAGTAGACATGGAACACTTGATGATTTATCTCAATAAAAAACTCTACTTTACAAAGTTTGTGGACTGAAAATATGATGGTGAAAGCTCAAAAAAATAGTCCTTAAAGCTGTCAAGAATGAAGAAGACAAAAGCCTCTTTTATAGGCTTTTTGTTCCACCAAAAAGAAAACACGTTGAAAACAAAGATTGCTTGATTGGCAAAACAAAAATTAAATCCCAATATATTTTACTTTTCTATATATGATTGAAATTAACCCAATAGAAAGGCAAATATACAAGAAAAGAAGGTTTTAATCATCACAATCTCAAAGCAATAAAAAATCAAACACCTTGATATCGTGATCTAATTGAAAACATGATTTCCAAGCAAGTTATTAAAGAAATAATAAAGGAAAGATATTGAAAATTATGTCTAAATGAGATCCATTTCTAAAGGGATTCTATTAACATAATAAATGCCAAAGATTTTCTATCAGGTGTGCATGAGAAATGACATGGCTTACCCTTGGATCACATGTCTTACATGTGTTAAGTCACAATTCTGTTATTCAGGGATTGTTGAGCTGTTTCAATCCTGTCGTTTCTGAAAATCAGAGACAACAATTCTATGTCAACCCTACAACTAAATGAAACTTCCAAACCTATACTAAGTTCTAGGAAATGCCAACACAATTTCAGACTAACATATTGTCACCTCTGATGCTTTAAATAAGGCATAGTGAAGGCTGATGTGATTTGTTTACCAACGTTGTTGTAATAAGGGTACACATTGGCAAGAAGTGCAACACTCCAACTCAATTAAGTATTTTATTTAATTTCTTTAAATCGTGAAATTACATTTTAGCCCTGGTGGTAGGGTACTTTAGTCACTTTTTGTTTGCGACGAATTTTGTGGACATGAGTGGCACCGTTGCATAGAGGTTGTCGATATGAGTTCGTAGACAGGTGGAACGCTTAATTCTAAGTTGTAACGAATGCGTAAAGGTCTGAAAATTGAAAAGACACATTGGGAATTTTCGAAACCCTAAATACCTTGCTTTCTCTCTCTCTCTCTCTCTCTCTCTCTCTCTCTCTCTCTCTCTCTCTCTCTCCCCCCCCCTCATGCACGCGTCAAACCCCTCATTCCTCTCTCTTCTCTCTCACCTCTCTCCCTACGCAAAAACCAGGGTGGCCAGTTTTGGCTGGTGATCTTGGTGCTCCAGTCACAACCGGCCATGGGACCGGTCGAAAAAAGATCGGCTAAGTCTGGCGATCACGTTTGGGCCAAAGTACGCCATCACTCACGGCGCCGATGCTAGCTCAAGAAGGGCTGGAAATTCCAAGTTTTCCAATGTTGATTATGGTGACTCTGGTAGCCGTTGACGATGATTTGGGTATGGATTTCGATCCTCTCATCATACTCTTTCTGATTGTGTACATGGTTAGGGTTAGTTTTGAGTTTTCAGAGTTAGATTTAGACATCCTTAGAGGCCGGCGATTTTAGCCATGTTTTGGGCACCTCTGGCCACTTTTTGGCTAGGTTCCAAGAGCCAATGCTCCCCTATTTATGCTTGAACTGCTATGTATTGGTCGGAGGAAAATCTCTCAAGCCACCCACCGCTGTCGGCTGCGAGTGGTGGCATGTGGGCCACCTTGTGCTGCCCATTGTGTTATAAAATGTTCCCAACGTCGTCCCGTGAGCGATAGTATAATTGAATTTGAAGTTGGTTACCATTTCACTATCGAATGAATATTGCACCTATTATGCGATATTCGGGTTAGATAGGTTAGAACCGTTCAATCGGTTCCAATTTCAATTATGTTATTCCATATACCTCTAGGATCGTGTAGGAATTTGCGGGTCGAGAGTCGGAGTCTCGGATACTCCGAGTCAATGATTCTAGGGTTAGGCGAACCGATCGCCATCCGATTTACTTTGATCCGACCACTCGATCGAAACTAAACTCTTGGGAAATGTTTAGTGGATTGTATTGGACCTATAGAAACTGTGGGATCAAAAATCGGAGGTCGTGGGCCCCGCTAACCCGGTTGACCTAGAAGGTAACCCTTATTGACTTGGTTGACGAAATGTCTTCCATGATCATTTTGGGCATTGAGAATACGTGACACTACTCTCGGATCTACTTCTTAGACTTCTCACACACTTAGGGTTCCAAGAAGCTAGGATTGTATATTAAAGTCTCGTTTTGGTTTCTGGTTTGTTCTAATGCTAGTATCTCTTAAATTAGGTTCTCCAGCGCAATGTATCGTCAGGGTTGAGCTTGCTTCGGACTTGTTGTAAGTGGACACTTGTTTTAAATGGTCATTATAATTCAAAGATGGAATTGCATGCATAAATGGGTTTTGATTGAGAATCTAATTATTTTGGGTTATGGGGACTTTGGAGTTATGTTATTCTCTTAACTACGGTTTTACAATGTCTATGGGATTTTTGGTGCTTAAGAATATTATAAAGTATATGAATTTTGAGTTTTGGATTGTGATGGTATCGGTTGTTTATGCTTCTTGGATATTGATTATGTTTATGGAATTTAGATATACTTTGGGATATTGGATTTATATGGCTATATACCACCATATATACCTCTTATGATTCGTTATGGAAAGGATGATGGAAATATGGAAAAGATTTATAGTTGGTCTTTGGGACCCATAAGGCACACATATACTCTTTGGGACGTGTGTCAGGATGTTAGTCTACGCGTATGACTGAATTAGCCGCACTTGAGATGTAGGTCCCGGGAGGAGTACTGGGGAACAATAGTCCCCCGGTTTGACTGCTCATCCCTAGCCACATGTGTAATGCATGATCTGCCATGTGGTTGAGAATAAACAATCCCCAAGTTGGATTGTTTTCCTTGGTACATATCTTGATGGGGTGCGTGTGTGTGTGTATATATATATATGTATATATATGGAGTGCTGACGTGAGTCTCCTAATAATCAAGGAGATTTACTTCCATCAATAATTAAGGGATTTATTTTCCTATTTTTTATATAAGTGATAAATCATTGTACAATTAGGAGATACTTTCCTAATTCTTTACTGTATCTAATTCCTTGTAAGACCCTCATGTAAACTCCTATATATACCTCCTTATGGAGAAGAATAAAACTAAACCTAATACATTCAAAACCATATTCATATTTTAGCATGGAGTTTACTAGGCATAACATATTTTGCAAGCATGTTTTGGGAAGGATATGTTTTGCGGAAGAAAGTCAGGTTGAATTATATTATATTATAATATGGGCTATGGATTTAAAATGGTTTCGAGTAATGATTTATATATATGTAAAAATGAATTTCATTGCATGGTTTACATCGTTTTTCTAAAACGGTGGAGTTAGTATGTTCGGATATAACTTATGTTAAAACTTTATTTTTATCCACTCACATTTTCTTTGTTTTGTGGCCCCCAGGATATAGTTAGCTGAGGTCTGCCACTCCACGTCAAGGCATCATCGGCATTCTTTCCATCACCTTCTATCGTAGGATTTTCCTTGTTTCTTCCCTTACAACGTTCTCTTGAGTTGTAAATTAAATCTTTAAAAGCTTTGAGTTGTTTGTTTTAAGTGTAGGTAGAGGGCCTGAGGTCCATTGAATCCTCCTAATTGCCTTGTGTGCCTTTACCTTGTGCATGCTACAAGTAGGGATTATTTTGTGCTTA